ACTGTGTCAGACCAAAGGTCCGTCTAGCCCAGTATCCTGTCTTCTGACATTGGCCAATATCAGATGCCCCAGAGGGAGGGATCACAACAGGTAACCCTCACGTGATCCCTCCCCTGAGAAACAGAGGCTAGGGATACCATTCCTACCCATCCTGACTTATAGCTACATGAATCTATCTAGCTCTTTCTTGAACCCTGTTAAAGTTCTAGTCTTCATGGCATCCTCTGGCAAGGTTGCACTGTTTTACCAGTTCCTTCAGAACTTAGGTGTATACCACCTGGCCTTCCTTACTGTTCTAAACCCTTTCTATTGACCTATCAGTGTGGAATTTGGAAGAGTTCTTATGCACAAACATGTTTGTTCACATACTGTGCATATGATTCTGTACGTGCACATAAGTTGTTCAACATTCTGAATCTAACTGACCTCGTAAATGAAATACACTTTTTCTCTCTTTCCAATGCAATTGCATAATCTGGCCATTGTCTCACAAATACTTTTCACATTACACAAGGTGGGGTAATAATTAGCCATGCCCTCCAATATACTCCTATGGAAATTCTTGATATATCCCTTTTACCATGCCCTCTGGATCTGTGTTAAGCCTGTCTGATTCAGGCTCTGAATTGGCAGTGATAAGGTCAGCTTCTTTTGTGTCCTCATCCAAACTAGCTGGGGACCTATTGAGGAAAACTCTTTTCTGCTGACCAAGTTTGTTTTCAGGCTCACCATGGTCATACTCCTCCTTAATATACGTATATCTCTTCCAATAGGAGAAATGCATTTTTTGGAACACAAATAATGGGCTGTGTAAGAATCTTTTGTAGTATCCCAGCCAACTTTCCAATGAACACACATTTAAGATAAAAAGCAGCATCAGTTACAATTTGCTGTAGGTGCATGCAGCTTCCAAGAGACAGTCCTACCAGAGACTGGGAATTCAGTTTTGCCATGCAACTCACAGCATTGTCAAGACAGACCTTTGCTTTAGGTCAACCTAAAATGGAATTTGGAAACCTCAAGCAAGAGTAAAGTCCAAATTGCTTGAGGCATCCATAAAATGGAAATATACAATGGGCACTTCGTCCACTGAAAGTCTATGGAAATTGATCATCTAACTTCCATTAGTGCATTGGAAAAATCTCCCCCTAAAATTTCTGAGATATCATACACCTGGTCTTGCTTTGGCAAGGGCAGGGTGCCACCGTCTGCTTTGTACATGCTTTAAATCTCTTGAGTATACACACAAATCCCACATTCTTACTCAACCTTTTGGATCTTACATGCACACAATTTAATTTCTTTGCAGTGTCAAAAACGTTCTACTGTAGCTGAAATATATCAAGGATGTTTTTGTCAAGCCATTGAGACCAGGTTCTGCAACTCTCACTATGCCCTTCTCGGGTGATCAGATCAAAATATTAGTAAAGTCGCATAAGAGCTTATTAGCAGCTGTTACAGATACTTTCCCTGTGTTTTAAAAACAACAACGAGAACAACAATTCAGTTGGGAAAAGCATATGCAACAGCCTTTTGATCACTGCTTCAACTCACCATGTCGTGATGTGTAAACTTTATTGGCAACAAGGCTACAGATAAAAACTAGGGAAATTCTTAAATATTTCTGATGCCTCTATATCATGAATCAAATTTGATCTACCACAGAACTTCCTGGATCAAAAGTGTCTAGCACCTAGGAAATTAAGAACATGAACAGAAACTATCTTCCTTCTCTTTTTGCCCTTCCCTTGCCCCACCTCTTACCCCCACCCCAAACCTGATGATTAAATGCTGTAATCTGACAAGCCCCCTGCAACTTGTTAGTTGAATACATACATGCACAAATGATGCTTTTCTAGGCAACTGTGCAATTGTAAATCTCATTGACATGAGCCATTTCAATGCTAGTTAGGCACTGCCTTCTTTTTGTTGCTATCTGTGTTGCCCAGCTTTGCTGTCCGCCTTTATCTGCTCCACTTTTGAAGCCAACACCAGTGGCCACACATAGAGCTACATAGGCAGCTGTGGGATACAAGTGCCAAGCTTTAGATTCTGTTTATTCAGCAGTGGCTTCAGTGTCTGTGACTGGTCACTAGGCTGATTATCTGCCTACAAGCCTGGAGTGGGATAAGTCTGGTGTTCAGCTGCCTTGTTTCTCTGTTCTTTGCAGTAAAAGTGATGAATTTGTTCCCTTTCATAATTAGTCAGACAATGAGGGACAGCACTAAATTTTTCATAACACCCAAGGGCAAGGCTTTTAGGTTATGTTTCTTTGTGATGAAATAATATGCTGTATGAAAGCCAAGTTGCCATTTGACTCAGAATGGCCAGTGTTCCAGTCTTTCAAACTGTAGCCAGCAAGTGCACTACACGGTGAAGAAAAACTGGCTAGCACGTGTCTTCAAAGGAGGTTTTTTAGACTGTAGCCTCAGCTTCCTTTCATTTTCAGCCTTACAGACATGGGGCTACATGAGAACTTATATCCCATTACCTCCATTTATTTTCTGCAGCCATAAAAAGTGCAACTATTTAGCTTTACAATCACCCACAACCTGGGTGGCTAATTTATTTAAAAATAAGCCATGGCAATAACACTTAGAACCACCATAGCACTTTGTATCTTCTAACCACTTTGCAAACATGAGCTAAGTAAGGCCAAATCTAAACTAGAAATTTTGCCATACAGAAAAGGCATATCTGGGTGTGACTTTTAATATTTGTTTACACACAGTAGCCAAAGGGTAGATGTGGTTATATCAGAAAAAGGGGTTTAGTTCTATAGCTTCTTTCGTTGTGGCAGCTGGAATAAGCTGTAACTTATAATAAATAAGCGAATATTTTGCTTGTATATGCTGCCTCTACACTGAAAGTATTTACTGTATAGGTATATTGCAATAGCCAGGGCTGTGGAGAGATATGCTGGATCCATGGGCAACATGGGAGAGGGCCCGGCTCCATGCTCCGGAAGGAATGGAGCCTCGGGTGGAAGCGTCAGAGCTGGGGCTAGCTTCTCTCAGCCAGCTATTCATGGACTCCTGGAGCATGCTGCATAGGGCTCTGGTGGTAAATTAAAGGGCCCGGGGCTGTAGTCTCTACTGCAATAGCAGCAGTGGCAGTGGCTGGGATCCATGGCCCTTTTAAATAACTGGGCCATGGGCAGCTGCCCTCTTTGTCCCCTTCCCCTCTGCAGCCTTGGGTGTAACATACCAGCAAACCTTTTCTATGGTACAGAGGGAATTAATATCCATGGGATTGGAATTCCAGAGTCATTAATTCTTTGTCCTGTGTTCCAACCAGTCCATTTCATTTTGTCATGTATGAGGTGTAAAGTGCAACACTTCAGTCATATAAGAATATGTCCAGCAATAATATTTTGCAAAGGCTCTCCATTTACACTAGACTTTGTTTGAGTTCATAACAAATTCTATTGTGTTTCTGTTACTGATGGGTTTATGCAATTACAAAAAGTAGTTGATTTGAATGTAATATCTCTCATGTGGACTTACGTTTGGAGTTTATCCAAAAAGACAGGGACGAGATTTTGTTTGTTTTGTTTGATCATTTCTTATCACAGAATTTTGTTTGACTCAAACCACAATGATACATCTGAAGGCAGTTGAATGCTTGTAGTACAGATTTATAAAACATCCGTGTACAGCGGCTAAGCTTCACTATTGCATACCGACTGCCTTCAATTCCCAACAAAATACTGAAATTTCTACCTATTTACAAATTAGTACTTCCTCTGAGCCTTGCATAGTTCCTATTATTTAAGTATGCTTTCTTCAGTCTCTACTTGGCATTTGTGTGTGTGTGTTGAGGGGGGTGGAGGTGGCGGGGGAGAATAGCTCTAGAGCATTAGTTAAATTGGAGTTCAATAAAAAAATCTAGATCAACTTTTATCCTTAGGCAAGTTATGCACAGAGTGAAATTAAACCACTATATGTACTTGTAGATTGAAGAATCAGAGGTGGAGGATGGGTCAGAAACACTAAGATCAAAGTTTCTCTTCTTTGAAAAAAATCCCTTTGAAAGCCCCTGTGCCACCTATTTCGCTTGTTAATGTTTTGACTGGAAGTGTCTGGCAGTGTCAGGAGCAGTAGAATATTTTTAAAGAGGGTTTTTTTTTTTTTTGCACTGACTCTAATAGCAAAGCAATGGATCCTTAGCAGCCTCTGTTATATGTCTCTTAAGGGAATATTTTTGTTAATTGCAAATATTTGATTGACAAATATGGGATGCAATTAGTAGGCAGGCACAGTAGGAATGTGCAGTGAACTGGATCTCTGAACCAACAGATCTCAACTCTCTGCTTGATCTGAAATAGACTAGAGCATTTAAACCATATGCTTCCCTCAAACTTTTTCTTTCCTTTGAAAATTCCTTATTTCCCTAAACTAGCCTTCTTTCACTCTCTTCACCAAGGGAGCTAATTCATCTACTCTGATCATGTCAGATAAAGATAGAAAATTCCTCACAAGCTTCAGACTTACATTGCTTTTTGATCGTGGCAGTAAAAATTAATGTGGACAAGACTACACATGCCAGTTGTGCTCACAAAAGCCCTAGGTGAAAGACAATATAGACTAATTTAACTTCAGACATTCTGAGCTTAATGGTCTATTTAAACAATAAAGTTGTCTGACTATATTTATTAATTATATTTCTTTTTATTTACACAGAGTACTGTCTTTCTGGGGAGACAGTAATTAAAAGTTACCTAAATAAATTGTGCTAAAATTCTGTGACATGAGAAGAAATTCAGATGACCTGAGTTTTTTAGTGTCCTTGATTCAAAGCCAGAGCTCTTAAACCTATTGGGAGATTGTTGTTATTAATTATTATTATTATTATTGTTATTATAATCCATTGTTTTGGTAGGTTTGAAGTGTTGGTGGCACCTGATTAAATTACTTCATGAACCATTGATAAGATAGCATGTATTTTAGAACACAACACTAAACAGAACTTGAAATGCCTAATGAAGCTTTGCTTATTTCAGAAGGTCCTTGTCCTGCAACTTTTATGCGTGTTGGGATCTTCTCATGTGATAAAGGATGACTCATGTAAGTGTTGCAAGAGCCAACCTTTAATTTTGAAATTCTAATAATAGTTTCTTTTAACTGAGAGAACTGTAACTTTATTATCTGCGTGATAACATTAAAATATAAATTACATTTCCTACAACTTCCCTGCAGAATTTCATCTCTAAAAAAGGCATCTGCTGCTCAATATATTGAGAATGTACTGGTTTATATTTTCTCTTTTTTAATGTTAATCTCAGAATACAATTACAAAAAGTTTTTCTTCTAAACATATAATCATAAAGATGAACTGATTCTATAATATGTTCTGCCATTTATTTATAAATCTGATATAGGCACAATATTTGACATATGTACATTTATTTTCAATTTCCTTTTCAGTAAACTTTGTTGAACAATTAGAAAATTATACTTAATGGATGTTTGCTATGGAACTAAACTAACCTACACTATATAATCATCTATTATGGAGACATTTTTAGAAGCCTGTTCTGGTGCTTGCTTGGGCTTGCTCAGGTTGGTCTTAGTAAAGACTGATCCTTTTCAATCCAATCCTTTCTC